GTCTTCACAAGCCAGGCTCCTCCCCGGGGAAGGAAGAGCCTGAGCTCCGCTAGGTCACACATGGTAGAGAGGGAAAGGCAGTGGGTAGAAGTGGTTTACAGCACAGAGAAGCTGCTCAAATAAGTGAATAGATGGAAGAAAATGGGGATTCAGCTTCTTGCAGCCAAGAGAAACTCAAATGAACCTGTGGCTTATTGGATGGGAAACAGAGACATGGGTAGGAACGTGGATCTTCAACCCTAAAACCTAGATGTAAGTTCAAGAGCACATGCCTTTCCCTCAGTAGATCTGTCCGCTGCTAAGAAGGCCCGAGAGCAGTGATTCCTTAAGAGCGATGAACACATCTCACTTTCTGGAAACCATTATCCTAAACTAACAGATGATCCATGGAGAAACAGCTGATGTCAGAGCTGGGATGGCAATGATACAGAGCAACCTCACAGTGCATGTAGAATGCTAGAGACATGTCAACAGCCAAGGAAGAGCTCCCTAGCCAATAGAGAATGATTCAAATATCAGGGGAAAAAGTCAATGGTGGACTATAACCTGGAGAATGAAATAGAAGCACAAAATTCTACAGAGACATTATATATGTAAATAAAGTTTGAGAAGAAAATGTTTTCTTGAGATTCTTCCAGTACTTAGAAGTGCTTGCAAAGGGAAGTGCATGGAGACATCTTGCAGACACCATATTGACCCAATGAATGAAGTTGACATCCCCACAACAGAGAAGCTGACATCCTGTAAGGCCTGCCTCAACTGATGGGATTAAGGGACAAGAGCACAGCTTCACTTGTGTGGCTTCCTCATCAGAGGGGCACAGAATGAGTCACTAGGAACCATCAGGCAACTCAGAGGTGTTTCACAAAGCTGGCTTGTAGTCATTGGGAGTGTTGAAGTCACAAAAATCTAGAAAGAAAGGAAAGGAGGAAGGAAGGAAGGAAGGAAGGAAGGAAGGAAGGAAGGAAGGAAGGAAGGAAGGACAGAAGAGAGAGAAAGAAGGAAGGAGAGAGAGAGAGAGAGGAGGGAGGGAAGGAGGAAAGAAGGAAGAAAGAATTGGTCTAACCTAAAGAAGAATAAATATATACGAGGTGTAAATCCAGTGAGCAATTCTAACCTGGGCCTTCTTGCTTCCATGGGCATTCCTGGAAAACTTGTGGACTTGATAGGTTCTGGGGATGGAGCTGTAATGTGATGGTGATGGTGCCCTTTCCTGGTGTGGGTGGATATATTATAGTTTTACAGGAGAGTATCATTTCACAAAGAAAACACACTAAAGTGTTTAGTGTGTCACACTAAAGTGAACGACGTGTCAGCCACTTACTTCCTATTGTTCAGGCATAGGTCTTTGTATCATACTTAGACCTTGTTTCAAGTTTGAGATTGAAAAATAGAACAGTTTAAGATGAAAATGTGTCGGGTGGAAGTCCCGCAGAATCATGCCACTTTCCTGCATGTATGCAGGTACCCCTCCTTTCTCCTCTTCTGCAAGCTAGATGTGCTGCTGACCCCCACACCCTCTCCACCTTCTTCTCCATCTTGAAAGGTGAAGAATGACACTTCTCCTCTCCAAATAGGATCTGAAGATCTCTGAGATCCCTCTGGGGGGGAAACTCATACTTCGGTAACTGAAATTTTTAGTGAATAAGCTTTAACATTTTCACAAAGCTGAATGAGTCACCCTGTCCCTTCAAAAGGTGCAAGCGATGAATCATACCTGATGACACAGAAAACTCATTACACAAGTTGATTGCTTTCTGAGTAAGATCTCATTATGTAGCTCATATATATAAATTTAAATTGAGCAGCCCTAGTTCGGCCTCTGTGCCCACCCTTTGCCCATGCATGAGGCCAGGAGAAGATGTGATCAGGTGGCAAGAGCAAGCAAGACCTTCATCATCAGATCTGAGTCTCGACCTCACCCTACCACCTAGTGTCACCCCTGATGACATCAACCCCCGGACATCCTAGTCTCCTCTGTGAAATGAAGAGTTTGAGGAGGTTGGAATAAAGCAATGGTGGCAGAAACCCACAGCCAGTTCTGCCCATGTCAAGGTTACAAGTTGGCATCTTGCTGCCTCCTGGTGTGCGGGGTAACGTGGCGACTCATGTGGCCTGAGCAGAATCTCTGTGGTCACCTCAGGACCAAAGTCCAAAGAGGCCACTGGACCTTTACTGTGTGTTTTGTCTCCTCTGCTGGCTGGGGGCAAACAACTCCTGGTCCCTGAGGGTGGACTATTCCCACCCCCTCTTAGGCAGACAGGAGGATCAATGGACGTCTGAGTGAGTAAAGGTGTGTGATGACCTGTGTTGGATCCCACATGAGACAAGGAGAGAACCAACTCCTGAAAGTGGTCCTCTGTCCTCCACACTTCTGCCCTGCATATACAAAATAACTAAATAAATATGTAATAAAATGATTTTTAAAGACAAACAGGAGATGGAGACCTTGAGCACCTCAAAACTTGTTAGTGTGCGAGAAAGTAACTTCTGTTGATTTTTTCAGTCATTACAATTTTCAAGTCCATCTCTGTAGCAGTTTGGTTTATGTTAATTGAAGCAAAAATCCTTTCAACAGCCTGGCAATCAGGGAAAGAGTGCCCACTTGAGATGACCTTGAAAACCAATGCATCCCTGATCACAGCAGAAATCCACCCATAAAAAGGAGCTCCCAGGCCAGGCCGACTTCATTGGAACTGGAGGAAGGTTTCCTCAAGTCTGAAGAAAGTGTGTGACTAGAAAAAAAGGGAAGAGGATGCTAACGTGGTCAGCTGGGGCTGCGCAGTACACATGGGCCGTCGCAGACACCAGCTTGGGTCCCCTGCAAATGGACCTGAGACCTGAAGGGAGACATTCCCCGTATGCAAACACAGGGGGCGGGGCCAAAGAGGCTCCGCCCACAGGACCCAGCTGCTCAGCAAGACGGCCTGTGAAGACAACCAGGGGCCTGAAATAATCTACAGGGATAGAACCGAGACCAGAGAAGCTTCTAGAATCTCCACCGGTGATACAATGTCTGCTTGTAAGCACTGGTATAGACGATGAGAGTTCCTTGAAGGCGGCCAACTTCTCTTGTTCTGATTCCATACTCAGTAAGCAGTTGAGAACACGCCCCAGTCAGGTGGACAAAGAGTTTATAGGTGGAAATAGCAACTTGACACTCTGTGTTTTAAATGCTTGATGTGCCATGCCTCAGTTTCCACATTGTGGAATACTAGAAGTACCTGCAGTGGTTTGAACAGGAATGCCGCTCCCAGCCATGGGTTCATAGATTTAAATGTTTGGTCATTAGGGAGCGGCCTTACTTGAGAGGGATTAGGAGGTGTGGCCTTGTTGGAGGAAGTGTCTCACTGGGGGTGGGCTTTGAGGTCTAAACGGCCCAAACCAGGCCCAGGGTTGTTCTCTTCCTGCTGCCTACAGATCCTGATGTAGAACTCTCAGCTCCTTCTCCAGCGCCATGTGTGCCTGCATATTGTCATGCTTCCCACCATGATGACAATGAATTAAACCTCTGAAGCCATAAGCCGGCCCCCAGTTAAATGCTTTCCTTTATAAGAGTTGCTGTGGACACGGTGTCTCCTCACAGCAATAGAACACTGACTGAGACAGTACCTGCCTCATACTGCCGCTGTGAGGAGCACAGAGGAGATGTGGGAAATGCAGACAACAGTTGCTGATCCAGGGCAAGTGCGGCCTTAGTGCTTGCCATTGCTGTGTGCCAGGCTCTGTGAACCCTGCCTTGGAGACCTGGCACTTTATCACCCACAAAAGCAACTTCATTATCAGCCCCTGAAGAGTAGCTAATTTATAAACTGCATTGCATCTTCCGGAGGCCCGTCTGAGCACCCACCCAGGGCCTCAGAGCACCTGGGCCAGGCTAGCCGTGGCTGTATGGGAACCCACAACAATCTAATTGCCGCAGTTGCTGGACTGAAATGACTTCAGCAGGAATCTGTAGTGTTGCCAACTGATAATGAAAGCTGACACCCAAGTAATAGAGCCCTGCACTGGAGGACAGTGTCAGCACCCGCTCTGTTTTGTCAAGATGCACCCAAGTGTCACCTCCGCTTCCAATCATCCCTAGTCCCCGAGGCGCGCTCTCCCCACACCCCAACACACACCCGCCTTGTCCCAGTCCTTCCCCGTCTCATGGGACTGTTCCCGTGTCTGCTTCCTGCCACGGATGCCAGCTCTTCAGTACCCCCTGGGAGCAGCACAGAGCATCGCAGGTACTCACAAAGTCCGTGCTGAAGTAGACTCTGTTCTCCCCTGTGCTCTTCCCTAAACCCAAGCTGAGATGGAGGGCTTTGGGGGACAGGACCACCGAGGGCCGAGTAGCTTCCAGACATGCTTGTGGGGCCATGAACCATGAGGGACAGTGGCTCCTCAAAGCAGCCCTTGAGCAAGACACTGTGACAGTTACCATTACCTGTTTAACTAGCCCTTACCAAATGCCCACCTGGGCTGGTTCCTATGCTCATGAGTCTTGGAGGCAGAGGCAGAGGTGAAAACAAATACCCAGGTCATGGCAGCACCATATGACAGATGCTGCCACAGGAAAAGCACAGGGCTCCACAGGAAGGGCCATGAAGGAGATGACCCTGAAAGTGTCTCACGAGTCTGGGGTCAAGCTGAGCACTGAGTATAGATCCAAGCTTTGCGGGAGAGGCACCATAGATAGTTCTCTGTGACAGAGAGCTCTCTGCCCATCTCCTCAGAAGGGGCACTGTAGGATGTCACAGGCGAGGGCATCTCTGTCACCATCCTGGAGGCACGGATGACTCCCAGGCCTGCTAGATCTTCTGACCCTGCAGGCTCTCAGAGCACACCTCCCCAACCAGGCTGAGCTCTAGCCTGTCTCCGACAGCCTTGAGAGTTACTGCCTGCCCTTACCTTGGGCACAAGTAACAGAACCCAAAGACTCTCCACCTGGTCGCCTTGCCTCCCAGCCCGCTAGACAGTAGGTATACTTGGCATGAACAAAAGATAAGTGAACGAAGAAAAGTGAATTTCTTCTGGTAACTTTATTGATAAGGAAACATTTTGAGGGAAACAAAGAGTTCAGCAAATTATATAAAAATATACATGTAAATAAAATCAGCAGGGGCAGGGGATTTATACACTTGCTTTTTCTGGTGATCCAGATAGTAAAACACATTTGGAGTCACCAGTCTGGCCTGAGCCCTGGAAAGTGAAAGAACTTACCAAAGGGGTAGGGGTCGGGGTAGGGGGGCTGAGGGCAGGGCAGTGAGGTTCAGCTGTCATTCAGAGGCCAATGGCCAGGCAGGGGTGGGAGGCAAGAAAGCTTGTGTGTGTGTGTGGCTCATTTTAAATCAGTCTGCTCCCCTTACCAGACAAGGGCTTGGGTGGGGTTACCAAGTCACAACCAGGAGGCAAAGCCCTGCCTAGGAGGGCAAGGCCCCAGATGAAGCTGCCCAGACCCTGCTCCAGGGGCACCCACCCTAATACAGCAGGAAGTAGCGCTCTGATGGCCGTGCATGCTGCCCAGGTCTGGATGCAGGACAAAGTGACTTTGCTGCTTCCCTAGTGAGCAGTCACAACAGGATTAAGAAAAACATTGGGGTCCAAGAGTGGTGGGCTGTAAGGTCAGGCAAGATTTTGACAGGCAGGGATGGAACTGTGTTGGGGGAGGTCCTGAGAAGGTGTGTGTGTCTGGGAGCAGGAGCCATATGGAGGGAGATGAGGCCAAGGGAGAAGCTGGAGGCCACCCACCATGGCCCCCAAGCATGGAGGGCACAATTAAGCTGGGTAAATCACAGGGACTCCACTGTATCCTTGATTTCTTTCCTTCATTTAACAAAAAATATTGAGTGCAAGCCCATCCACACATTCTCCCCTGAGTGCTGGGCGTGGTGGGCAGGGCAGACTCCCACACTTCTGAAGTTGGCACTGTCTGCATGGGGAGCTCTGAATAGAAGTAGCCCCTGCTCAATATTGGTGGGGCCCAGCCAAAAGAGAGGCGGGGTGGAGGTGGGGTGGCGGGGTGCTGTCTGATCTGGGAGGAAGGACTGGTCCTGAGTCAGGTAGAGCAATAAGGAGGGGTTCTTTCAGTGTGGTTGCCAGGGTAACAGGTAGGACCCATGTAGCCAGTCCAATGATGCTCCCCAGAAACACACACACACACACACACACACACACACACACACACACACACACACACGAAGATGTGTTTCACAGATGGCTGGGGAGGGGCGGGACTATGGGGCCAGAGAGGAAAGAGGCCAGCAGCGGGAGGCTGGGCCCCAGTCCTCCTCTCCCACTGGGCAACAGGCCTCCTTCACTGGAAGGGCTGCTCGGGAGAGCTCCGCCCTGAGCTCCGCTGGTCCCCATGCCTGTAGTCGTCTTCCTCGTCCCTCCCTCTGGAAATTTCTGTCCGCTTCGCTTGAGGCTGTTGGTAAGCGGCTCGGTTTCTACAGAGCAGAGGAGAAAGAAGAGAAGGTTAATCCTCGTGGGGATGGGGTAGGAGAGTTCACTGGTCCAACCACCATCCCACCCCTGGGCTGCAATGGGACTCTGCTGCAGCGCTGGTTTACGAGTGTGCAGTGAGATCTCAGAAGAACACTCCACTCGTGGGCTGAGGAGCCTGGGGAAGCAGCATGTGTGTGTCAGCCTCTACCCGACCCTCAGCTTGCCACGAGAAGGCCTGTCCCGAGATGCAAACCGTGGGCCCAGGGGACAAGCGCAGGACTACAGTCCCGCCCTTGATTTGGGTGGGTTGCTCAGTCCTCAACTGCAGCAGAGAAAGACTGAAACGGCAGTGTGGGCCCAGGTGCTAAGCGGGCGTGCCTGGGGAGTTGGGGTGCATCTTCCCACCGGCTTCCTCCCAAGGGGCCGCCTGTCCCAGCGCACTTACGGCCTCGCCTCCTCCACGGCCTCGGCTTTGTCCGATGTCTCCCGGCAGCAGCAGCAGTAGACGATGACGCCAATGATGATGAGGGCCGCCAACACACCCCCCGCGATGCCCGCATACAGCGCAATGTTCATGGAAGCTGCAAGAGGGTGGGGCAGCTGTACCTCCTGAGCCCCAGCTCTGGCCGCCACCGCCCCGGACTCAACCCTTGGCCACAGAGGTGAAAGCCAGGATGGAGGTGAGGAGCCACAGCACCCGTGTGGGGCACAGCAGGCTGGTCCCTCCCAGCCTCTGGGCCACTCCAGTTCTTTTGCCAGCCTAGGGAGCCATGACTGCAGACCTCGGGTAACACTCGGTCGTGGCCCTGGAAGATCGGGACTAGACAGATCTGAGGACCCGCTTAAGGACAGAGGAGCAAGCAAGGACAGACAGAGGGAGCATTCTGATACTGGGCTCCCTAACGGTCAGCTTTGCCAGCTTCTGGCTTCTGCGTGAGATAGCTGTGGTCTCCCTTCTCTCCACAAAAAGAGACTAGGGTTTAGGCCAAGGCCGTTGGTTCTAGGCACTTCTCCCACACTCCCTGAGTGGCCCACGAGGCAGGCATGGCTGAAGAGGTCTCCAGGAGTCTGTCCCAGGCTCAGTTTCCAAAGCACTGGAGGAGCAGGGCTGACCTCATTGAGAGGAAAGTCTGAGCCAGGAGTCATCTCTCCAGGGTCACAGCAACCACCTCATTCGCCTCCCATGGGCCTCAAGCAGCCACCTCTGGGCCTGGTACCCTCCCCTGCCCACCCTGCTCTTACGGAGTCTGGGGGTCACGGTGATGTTGCAGGACTGCACCCCCACGTCGTTCCTGGAGGTGCAGATGTAGTAACCCGCCATTTCCGTGCTGATGTTCTTCAGAATCAAGGGCTGGCCTGAGACTGAAGAAAAGGCAGCCGGTAAAGAGACGGTGGTGTGGTGGAGGAGGCACAGCCTGGGGCTGGGAGGCCTGGGCCCCGGGGGGCACAGACTCATCACCGGGCCCTTCTGAGCCAGTCACTCCAATCCGTGATGTAGGGGAAATCACCTCTAAGGTCACTGGGGGGTCAACATGGCAGGTGGACAGTGCCGAAGGGCTTCACACCCAGAACCCTGGGTGTCACTTACTTGGTGATGTGTTTGGCAAGTAACTTGGCCTTCTTGAAACCTATTTCTTCATCTCTAAGTAGAAAAGACAATACCTGCCTGGCAAGGTACTTGTGAGCCTAAAATGAGGTGTCAGTAATAAATATAAGTGCCCAGCAGGATGACTGACATGCAGCAAGTACTTGGGAGGCAAATATATGTATTGCGGGGAAATGTGTATATGTGATGTGTGTGGTGTAGGGTTGTGGGTTATTGGGGGGTGTTGCGCGAGCTGGGAGACAGTGCCAGTTTAAACTCTTCCTCCTCCCCCGTCACCCCTCTAGCTGTCTAGTTCCTCAGCTGCGGCTGCCTCATCTGGGAAGTGAGAGCGAAAACAGCCGATGTCGAGCCCAGGGAACAGGTGTCCTCACAAGAGGCCTCGTCCTGAATCCATGCTCCCGTGGGATTGAACCTTGGCAGCCTGTGTGCGTGTCCTGTTCTCAGAGACCTTTGGTCATGACAGCGGGGCCAGCCTCATCAGGACCTTGCTACTGCCAGGTATTGCCGTCCACCCCCAGGGTACGGTCTAAGTCATCAAGAGGGACCTGTTCCAACCCCACAGACATTTCAGAGGCTGTCTCTGATCTTCAGTAGCCAGCTCGTGTGTGTGTGTGTGTGTGTGTGTGTGTGTGTGTATGTGTATGCATGCACATATGTATACATGCACATATGCATATACATGTGGAGGCCAGAAGTTAACACCAGGTGTCTTCAGTCTCTCTTCTATCTTACTTTTTGTGATCGGTCTCTCGATAAACCTGGAGCGCACTGATTCGGCTGCTCGATGGAGGTTCATCGAGCCCTGGGGGAGCCCTGTCTCTCCCTTCCCAGGGCTGGGATCACAGGCAGGCGCTGCCATGCCCAGCTCTTATGTGGGCTGCTGAGGATCAAACCAAGGTCCTCATGATTTTGTGGCAAGCGTTTTACTGACTGCACTCCCCCCACCCCGGCCCTGCGTTCTGAGCTGTTAGCATGGTGACAAACGTCAGCTCTGGTCCTGCAATCCTGCCGGTGTCCTCTCTTGCTGCTTCCCACGTGCAAAGCCAAGGAGCAGCCCACACAAGGTCCGACCTCCATGCTCTGCAGTTCTCTATGTCCTACCATCTCTCCCGATCACAGTTGTCTCATCCTTCCGCCATTCTTGTGGGGAAGTATTGTCAAGCAAGTATCCCCCCCTCCAACTCCACAGGAGAGAACTGGCTTCTGCAAGGCGCCCTCTGACCTTCATACTGGTATGTACATGTGCACACACATGTGCATGCACACTAATAATAAGTAAATAAAAGCTTAAAAAACACGTGTGCACTGTAAAAAACAATGCATGCCTAAGGTAAGAATCCGTGTATGACATAAAATTATTGTGTCAACTCACTTCCAACTGAAAACACCTACGTCCCCCTCACGGCTCTGGACACAATGAGGAGAGTCCCTGCCCTTCTGGCTTATCCAATCCACCAAGGAAGACACACATGAAACAATGGTGATTTTTTGAGTGGTTATGGTTCAAAATGGAGGCTGTATCTGAACTCACGGTGAAGGGTTTTACTCTTGTCTGGGGGTCAGAGGAAGCCGCTAAAAGAAGAGAGAATAAGATAAAATCCCCCTTAATCGCAGCTTACTGATACTATTTTCTCCTCCTCTTCTCACAGATACACCATTTTCTTCGTATTCTTCCCTGAAAGCTCAAAGCAATATTTTCTGTAAACCGTGACAGCCTTGGATTGCAGAGCCCCGCTCCTGAGTGCTTTCTGGTATACATACATGTGATGTTTGTATAGGATACTGAAGAGTTGTCCATAAGTAAAGCAAGTGTAGAAATAAATCACTATGGTTGTGAAGTTTCGGGGGTGTGGCCTGCAGCTGTTTTACTATGCCGGGGAGCAATGGGAACCCCTGATTGGCATTCAGAGTATTAATGTTCCTGTTCTCCAGCCCTGATAGAGTTGGTTATTCTTAAGAGGATTTTGAAGGAACAGTCTCCAGAGTGCTCAGTGACCCCAGGTGTGCTTAGGAGGCCTTGTGCTGGCACCAGAGTCCCCTGGAAAGTGTGCTTGCTGCTCAGTGAGAATGGGGTGTCCACAGCACCCCGGGGCAGCTCTAGGCCTTGCTTAGGGGTGGGATCATGGGGGTTCCTGATGCATGAGCCAGCACCATCCTTCCCCTAGTCTCTGAGGCAAACTATGGGTTCTAGAAACGTCTCTGGATGAAATAGCGCTCACCCCATGCCGCCAATTGGCTTTAGTTGAACTGGGGATCCCAGGCTCCCTTCCCTTCTTGAAAGAGCCCACTAGTGTCAGAAACCCAGTTCCCCGTTGTTATGGCGACACCTTGTGGTCAGTGTAGGGGATGCGTGACAATCGTCTGTCTTCTGCTGAAGCGCTAAGAAGCCCTGACCACCCCAAAATACCGATCTGCTCTTTCTGTCCCCTCCCACCAAGGCTGGTCAGTAAGCTCTGGATGCTAGCCTCTCATCCCAGGCTGTGGGGGTGGACCCCTCACTATTCTCACTACCTCCTCCCCTAAAGTGTTCCAGTCTCCTTCCAAATTCCTGTTCCTTCCACTCCTGACACTCACTCCCTGGAACACAGTTCTTAAAGCATTTTCAGAGCCCTCCTGTGGAAAACTGTCTCTTACTTCAAGGAAGGTAATAGCACCATCTCAGCTTTTGTTATGTTTTTTGTTGTTGTTTTGTGGTTTTGTTTGTTTTTCAGGATCGGGGAACTTGTGAGTGACTTAGAGCTACAAAGTTAAAACAGGACTCTTGGGCTCTCTCTGAAGGGCACTCTGGGAACATGAGGCCTGGGGAAGGGTGTCCTGCCTCCATCACATTGTCCAGACACATGGCTGCATGGTGATCATCACGGCCATCGTTAATACTGCCAATCTGCATCAAAACCACCTAGCGGATAAGCTTCTGGGCATGCCTGTGGGGCACTCCAGATCAAGTCAGCCTTGGGCATGGTTGTATGGGGCAGTCCAGGTTGATTAAGGTGGGAAGACCTGCCTTAGCCGTGGGCAGTGCCATCCCTTGGGCTGAATACAAAGGGGAAAGGGAGCTGTGTAGCAGCATTCCCCTGTGCATGTGTGTGTGTGTGTGTGTGTGTGTGTGTGTGTGTGTGTGTGTGCCTGCCTGTCTGTCTCTGTGTGTGTGTGTTCCTGCCTCTCCCCCCCCACACCTCCTGACTGCAGATGCAGTGTGACCAGCTGCTTTCATCAAGACGTCTTACCACGGCAGCCATCTTTTCTGTCACTCTGGGCCTGAATTCCGATGAGAACATCTGAACTCAGGGCTGGATACAGCAGAGAAGCAAATCTCGCTTTAACTTCCTCCCACGCCCTCAGGATTCACCCACTTTTAGTCGGTAAAGAAACTAAATTGTGGCCCCTGACAACTTCTTGTGGTGGAGGTGGGGAGCTGTGATTTGGGTGCCCATTTGTGGGGCCTCTAGGAGGAGCCCAGTGCTTACAGGGAAAGTCCGACCTCCTAGGCCGACACACAGGCTGCTCTCCATCTCTCCTGTCTTTCCCATCAGCAGCCTCTCCATCATTTCTGCGTGGACAGGCATCTGACTCCTCAGCCACACTGATGCCGTGGTTCCCATGCTGTTCTCCCCTCTGAAGGGCCTGCTGCACATAGTTAACGACACCTGGAGCTGACTGAGTCCTGAGCTGCCCACGCACTGATCTTGGCACTTTACGTACTTTGGCTCCCCTTTCACAGCAACAGCCTGAGAAGAGCACTGGTGCTGTGCCCATTTGACAGATGTAGAGACAAAGGCACAGACAGCAAAGTCACAAGCAGCATGGCCAGGATCCAAACCCCTGGCTGCTCTTAAGCACCAGGTCACAGGGCAACTCACACATCCTCTTCGTGAAGAAAACTTCCCGGATCCCTCACACATTCTCACACACCACTGTATGTCAGCTACTGCGGTTCATGACCTCACGACCTCCGGCCCTGGACCCCCCTGTGCACACTTGGATAGATGACAGTCACACATCACTGTGTCCTCGGGCCATGAATACAGAATAGAGGGCAGAGACAGAAGACCACAGTGTTTGAGGACAAGTGCCAGGTGATTCCAACAAAAATCCCAGACAATCAAAAACTGGCAATGCAGGGGCCAGTGAGGCGACTGTGGGTGAGAGCACCCGCGGCCAGTTCGGACAACCTGAGTCCCTGGGATTCACGTGATGGGAGAGGAGCGACTCCCACGAGTTGCCCTCTGACCTCTCACTGTGGTGCGCTTGCGCATATGTGCACACTAAACAAACGCAATTTTTAAAATGTTTTTAAAATCAGGAAATTAGAAGCATTTGCAATCAGATGCAAAGCTGCATCATCCCTTTTACATCAAGTCAAGTGAGTTCTACTAAGTTTGATTTTGTTATTGGTTTTTTGTTACTGTTGTTTGCTTTTGTGGAGTTGTAGTTCTTGTTGTTGTTTTAAGACAGGGTTTCTCTGTGTAGCCCTGGCTGTCCTAGATCTTGCTCTGTAGCCCAGGCTGGCCTCGAACTCACAGAGATCCGCCTGCCTCTGCCTCCCAAGTGCTGAGATTAAAGACGTGCGCCACCACCGCCCAGCCTGGCTACTAACTTTGTTTTTAAGGAGTTACTGTTTGGCCTCCAAATGAGTAATAGCATGATAAAATCCACTCTGGTTTGATGGAAACCTAAGGAGTGGGGCGTTCATCCATGGCCTTCCTCAGGGTTCGGGATGTTCTTCCTCCCTCAGGTCAGCTTCTCAAAATAGGTGTGTCCTGTTGTGGAGTATTTGTTTACACTGTAAAGATGTATCTCTGCCTAAGGCATCTTCTAATTGGTTTAATAACGAGCTGAACATCCAAGAGCTAGGCAGGAGAGACAGGTGGGATTTCTGAGGAGAGGGAGGAAGAGGAGGAGGACTCTAGACATGCAAATTTTGCCAGCAGACTCAAACAAGTCAAACATGCTGTACTTGGAGGAAGATGACGCCATGTAGCAGAACGTAGATTAATATAAATAGGTTAATTTAAACTATGAGAGCTAGCTGAGAACAAGCCTAAGCTAAGGTCGAGTTTTCATATTTTAATAATGAGTCTATCATTAAACTGGTGGCCCAAAGAAATATCGGACTACGGTGCCCACCCACAGGCTTTGCTCTCACCTCTCTGTTCCATTTCCACACACACACAGACCTCAAGGCTAAACCTGGTAAGCATCTTTCGAACCTTTCGGTTCCTGTCTCAGCTCTCTGGTGCCGCCATGGCAGCTGGTGGACTCCGGCAGCCCAGGGGATTTCCACACAGGTGGCCACAAAGGCAGCAGGGTGTTTACACAGTCCCAGCTCCTCCCCGTCTCTCTCCTCCTCCCCACCCCCCTTTTCTTCCTCTCCCACCTACATCTCTTCCTTTTCCTCCTTCTAGTTTGTTTCCTGACCTAAAGGTCAAATATCGGCTGCCCAGTACAAAATGGGTCTCCGGGCAACTAGGGCTAAATCTGCCACAGCCTGTCCTGAGACCGAGGACCCTAATAGTCCATGGTGCGTTTGTGGTGGTGTCTGGGAGGGACTGATCTGGATGGGAAAGGGGACTAGGAGATTCCCTACCTCAAAAGTGGGCTTTAGGCCATAATAGTGCTTCAAAGAACAAGCAAGCCCCAGTGTTTCCGCGCACAAGGCTTAGCAGGACACACTTCCTCTAGAGAATGGCGGGATGGGGTGGGTGGGGGGTGGGGAACAGACATCATCTGCTTCTCCCGAGCCTTTGGCAGCTGTGAGGTGCATGGGTAACGCTCTGAGGGACGATCAGCCCAAGGACGGGACTGGGGAAAGGGGGCTTTGATAGCTCGGTCAGCCTCTGTCTCCTCTGGTCGCCCTTGCCAGTCGGGTACACCTGTATGTGGGGCACACCTGCCTTCCCTGATGCCCCTGTCACCTGGTTGGGCGACTGGCCGAGGCTGGTTCTGGGTGTTGTAGCTCGACCAGCTGTACTGTGGGGTGGGAGAGCCCTCGGCAGACAGGCACGTCAGATTGATGTTGTTCCCAATCACCGGCTCCCCTTGGATGCCGCAGTCCGGGATGGAGGGTGCGACTGGGAAAGAAAGAGAGTCGTGAGTTGCATGGGGACAACTACTGCCCGCCCCAGTATCTAGCTATCGACCCACCGCTCCCATCACACACCGAGAGAGGCAAGCAGGCAGAGAAGCTCATAGCTAGGCAGTGAGAGTCAACATTATAAAGTTAAGTCACCCTCAAAATATCCACTGTCATCTCACCCTCTCAAACGGCAGCCCCCGGAGGCTGTGTGGTCTAGCGCCCTCTCCCCAGCCTAACAGTGTCAGCTTCATCCGAGAAGCGGTGACTGCTTCTCCGAGACCCTCAGGCGGGGCTTGCGGGGTGCTAACACGTCCTCACGGAAGGAGGGGCTCAGGACGGCTGTCAAACCCCCGCCCCAGCTTCAGCCACAGCCGTCCTGCGCCGTGGCCATGTGTAGGTGATTCTGCCCTCACTGTTTATGATCTTGATGCGATCTAGAGTACACGGACTGTGGAAGGCTCACGGAAGGGGGCACTGTCCGTCTCTACAGCCGTGGAGACGCTGTCCGGGCTGAGGTGTGATTCCCGCGCTGTGGCTGCCGTGGGCTCACCCACGCTTGGCGTGTAACTCAGCTAGGTATCGTGAGCTCCCCAAGCTGAGCTTCGGGAGAATCGCTTTGGTTTTGTCGCTGGTGTCGTGTAGAGTTTGTTTGCAAACAAACCACCCAGGGAAAGAGTCCCCTGGACAGGCTGGTTGGTAGTGGCTTCTTGTGCTCTCTGGAATTGTGGGAGTTTAAACATGGCCAGCACGGCCATTCTACAGACTTCTACAGACGGGGGCCATGAACACAGAAGGGACGCTTGTTCTTGGGTCCTAGCGGAGGTGGGACTAGAACCCGGTATTCCTGACTCCAGACCCAGGACTTGCTCTGCTGACCCATGGGAGCTCTCTTTGCTATAGACTGGGCACGGATCACAGTGTTCCTGACCTCCAAAGTTAGGGGACAGCGAGCCTGACCTGTAAAGGGCCACCGAGCCTGACCTGTAAAGGGCCACAGGGAAATTGTAGGGTCTGAGATCACAATATTATCTCCAATGCTGTTTTTTTTTTTCTTTTGGGGGATGGTGTAATATTTTTTATTCTTTGAAAACATGAATGAATACATGGATGCAATATATTTTGATCATGTTTACCCCCCCCCCAGTCCCTCCCTCTGGACACCTTCTCCCTCCCCCTTGCATTTTCTGGTTTTAATGAAGCTTTAGAACCATAAGGGCAGGGTGGGCTGTGAGCTGGAGCGGGCCAGGATTTCCTCCCACTAGGTTAGATGGTCTTTGCAGCCTTTGGCTGCAGCTCCTTCAGAACGTTCTCTGTGGGCCTACCACCGCCCTCTCCCCCGGCTTTGCTAATAAAATGGAATCAGCACAAGCAGCTAGATAGCAAGCCGGACCCCGGGCAGTGCAGGGTGGGTGGCGAATGTGACTGAAGAGATGGAGTGGGCCGACGTGATCAAGGAAGGCCACAGAAAATGTTTATAAGCCCCAGCAGGCACTGCCAACCATCTGTCCTTGGTCCCCTGGCTCCTTGATACCCCAAGCCTGGGTCTTTCCCTCAGCCTTGTTAACGTCACATTGGGTGAAGTGGGTGGTTCTATAAAGGTTATTAGGTAGCCGGGTTCTGCCTCCCGATGCTGGGCACTGGGGTGACGCTGTGAGAGAGTCAAGGAATCCAATGGAGGATCAAAGGACAATGAAACAGTGACAGACAAAGCAGGGGACAAGACGGCTGGAGCAGAGGATGGTGACCCAACACCTCATATGGGCGTGACCTGGAGGTCACCATGGTGAAGGTGGAGGCAGAGATGAGCACGCTAGGCAGGGGAAGCAGGAAGGATCCACGAGACCTCAGGAAGCATCTTTAGGGGCGAGGAAGGGAGCACACACACAGGAAAGTTGTCACTGATGTCCTCGGGTAGAGGGCCTGTCCCTCCACTTTCATGGCATGCCCGCTCGGATGGCTTGCTTCGGCCACTCATCCCGGGGGTTCCTGCCAGCCTTAGCCCACCTGGAAGTTGCCGGAAGAATGGTCCCTACCTCTCCTTTCTCTTCCAGTCCAGCAGCTGCAGGTTTTCTTTTTGGAAACAGGCAGGCTATTATTAGGAGTGCCTGACATCTGCTAACACAGCTGGGCCAGGCAGGTAGGGAACCACCAGACACATTAGAGGCACTCCCTTCTTGCCAAACAAAAGCCAGGCTTCTGAGGATCAAAGACAGGCCCGCAGGAGCAGGTGGGCAGAAACCCTGCCAGCTGCTGGCTAATTGTCAACCTCCTGTGCATCCTGCTGGGCCAGCAAGCAGCCCCGGGGGTGGTGCAGGGGAGGTGGACTTACCCTCTGGGTACTCCTGCTGGGCTTCCCTTTCTCTTCTGGGCCCTACTGTGGTACCCTGCGGTGCCCTTACCTAGCCAGTCTCAGGCATGCCTTTAGCAGGAGGCTCGGCAGCGGCGAGATCCCACATGCCCTGTCAGATTAAGTGGTGGAGGGCAGTGGGACTCTCTGAGCTAGGGTTTCTTTGCAAGGAGCGGGACGGGGACACGGGACAGAGGCAGGAAGGAGAGTTCTGGAGACTAGCTACTGAAGCATAAAAAGCAAATGGACACGGTGAAAGACTAGGCGGCTTACCCCTCCACTCCTTGGCAAAGAAGGCAAGGAACTCCAGAAACTGCCCACGGAAGGAAGCGGAGGTGATGGCCAGCAAGGGAGACCTGCTTCTCAGGAGGACTACGTTGAGAGCTTTTGCCCCAGGCTCTTGACCACAGGCCCTGAACTTCCTACCTGACCCCATCCCAGGCGCACCCCTGCCCTCCGCCTCCAGATCTCCTGCGCGCCAATCACAAACAGTTGGGCCCTCGAATCCTATCTAGTTCAAAGAGTCCCACGTGCGGGGACTAAGAGTACTGGTGGGAGAGGGGGTCTTGTCCTCACATGGCCTGTTTTACAAGTAACATGTAGATGTTACCTGTGCATTTACTGGGAGAGGGGCGATAGAGGATGGAGGTGAACGCCCGGGCTCCAAAGCCTCTTCGATGCCGGCTGTTCCTTCTAAAGACATCAGGGGGCGCCAGAGGCCAGAGCAAAGATCCCACCTGGCACACAGGCCTCGAAGTCTTTTTAGCTTCGCAACTTCGTGGAGGTGAGCTAGACAAGGCTAGCTCCTAGAGGCTAAGGCTGGGGAGTTTCCTGCTAGCCTGCCCAAAATAAGCCGCCCGTATAATTAAAGCCTGTCTCCTTTCAAAAGCATCTGACTATAAAAACACAGAGAAAGAAAACTTTTCACAGAAAATCTCGCTGGGTTTATTAGCATGTAGGACAAAAAAAAAATGGTCTCTTTTTTTTTTTTTTTTTAAAGCGAAAGATTAGTTTCAATGAATTCCATATTCCCAGGTAAAACTTGTGTCCTTCATTCTTCAGGTTAATTTGTTCCTCTTTAGAAGTAGCTGCTCCTTGGTGTAAGGACAGAAGTGTGGTTGGAGGACCAGCAGAATCAGGCTTCAGATTTATAGGGGTTCCTGCCACTTCCCTTTCGACTCGCTGAAATCCTCTGCCCAAAAGACAAGGCAGGCAGGTAGTTAAAGAACGCAAACTTTATGTGTCTGTGTATACATAATCCTTATATGTATATGCATGCATGATTTTTATATATGCATACACACAAAGTGAGGTAGAGGGGTATATTGAGTATTGTTTGTGCAAACAAACAAACAAACAACAACAACAACAACAACAAAACCAGTCTCGATATCCAGCAGTATGAAACACTTGAGTAAGCCATTGTGCAACCATGAGACGGAATGTACTCTCTCGCAGCAGGTCTGCGTGTGTTGGCCTGGAGAGGTGTGCAACGGAGCATTGTCTAGAAGCAAATCGCTAAGTGCTTTATACTATCTAACTTCTTCAACGGGAAGAGCAAAGCATGTGAGTGCCTGGTGTACCGTGAGAGAATGTGGGGAGATGGCTGGAAGGACGCCTGCCTGCATTACCACTGGCTGCCTCAGAGTGGCAGGGTGGGAAGAGGTCTCGATTATTCTTTATGCAGCGTTAGTGTGTGCTGCTGTATATTCTGACACACTAGAGTGCTTTCTATAAGTCCAGCAACTACCATACACAATTTAAAAGAAATTCTGCCAGGTAGTGTAAAGGGAAAAGAGAAAGAAAGGATCCATTGTTTTCCTGCACAAAGTGGCTACCTCCCAGGAGGAGGGGGGCGCATTTCATAATACTGGACTCACTAAAATGTGAGCCCCAGTAACTAGTTTTAAGGCAATTACTTCCTTTCTCTTCCCTGAGCCTCATTTACTCAGAAACTAAAGCAGATGAGTTTCCTGGTCCTTCCAAAACTATAAATTCAAACCAATTCTCCCATGAAAGGGAAGGTATCTTGGGACATATTTATTTCCCCGTTGGTGACGGTGCCTTTGTTAGAGGTGGCATGGGAAGACTACAGTGTGAAGCTGAGTTGGCGATCAGAAAGACCCATCACCTATGGCAGTCACGGTTGGCCCTCTGAGGAGCAAGTACTGATTGAGGTAAGACGAGAATCTGAATATTATTTGGAAGTTCCCTTCCCTTCTCTTCAGAAATGAATGCGGCAGGGAAAAAGAAGGGTTGGTGTGGAAGGTAAAAGGCAGAGGGAGAGCCGGGCGGTGGTGGCGCACGCCTTTAATCCCAG